CGGGGGCGGGGGGCTCGCTGGCCTGCTTCCGGAGCTGTGCTTGTGGTGTCTCTCTCTGGGAATGAAGGGTTGCGCTGTGAATGCTAAGACTGTCCTTCTAAAATCTCGCCTGTTCAAATAGCTCCTCAAATGACTCGCTTTCTCTTTTAGCCCTTAATGTGGAAAGCTTTACGCGCCCTCCCCCCGCCCCTTTCCTCCTCTAGGGCGTCCCCTGAGACAGTGAGGATTTGGGGGAAGGAAGTGGAAATAAATGAAAAGTAGATGTTGCAAAGATTATATATCGGTATCTGGGAAACCGGTTACTTTTTTATAGTTAGTAATTTCTGTGCACTTGAAACCAGCTTTCCGTGCTCCAGATGAACTTTGTTTCAGATGTTTCAAATTAAGTTGGCTTCAAGTTTTGTGACCATAATAACATCACGGTACTATAGCCGTTATTGTGCACTAGTGAAATATTTTGGGTTTGGTTTTTCTAAAATATTGGCTCTTACATAACTTCAGTTTTTTGTACACTTAAATTGATAGCACTTAGAACTGTACAGCTCTTTTATAGAAGATAGAATGTCAATTATTTGCCTTATTTTTTCTTAGTTTTAACAGAAACATGTAACTTTGTTCTCTGAATGTCCCTAAACAACACATTACTGTGTATTGTTTTGTTGTGTTTAACATCTGCTGGTTTGGTTCCCCAAATGCCGTTTTAAGTATGTCAGCTACTGCTCCTGATCTGTGTTGACCGCTGCCTAAGTAAGCGAACAAACAAATGTGTGTGGTTTTAAGTTTAAGAGGTGGAGGATTATAGAAGAATTTAGACTTTGAGTTCTGCGAAGTGTGAGGAAATTCAGTGTCCCAAGTGGGTGGTCTCACATGAGGTATGGAGAAATCGGATTCAAGACCTCGTCTTAAATAAAGGCAGTGATGGGATTAAGGCAGTGATAAGATTAAAGAACAGGACTCTCTTTTAAGAACTATGTTACTAAATGTAATAAAACAATACCGAGCTCACCTCTGCTTTCATTCTCTTCTCTCTGTCTTCAGTGAGGCCTGATCCCATAGCCATTTGATACCTTGCACATGGGTCTTAAAACACCAGGAAGTTTGGGGTCATCAGGACTTGGCGGGATATTTGCATGCTGCTGGTGGATGGTTACCTGACGCGCCACTGAGTGACTGATCTGAGAGTCTCAGCAGTGCCCGTCAATGGTCGTGTCTGATGTCTAAAATGGCAGCTAGATTTCTAAGTTCCTCCCTAACTGTACTAGTAGGTCAGTGCCTGTTCAGTACAGACAGAAGCTGTATAATCAAAAAGCGTAAGCGTAACCTATAGACTAAACAAAAACTAGCGTGGTTTTGTAAACAAAAACCACAGCCAAATCTGCTATGATAGCTTAGCAGAACACTGATGTTTTACAGATTTCTTGGAGGAGGAGAAAAGAACTTAGTGCACGTCCAGGTTAGAAGATTCTTCTAGTCATACGGAAAGAAAGGAAAGAGGAAAGAGAATAAACAGGACCACAAAGATTAAGCTTGATTCTTAGAGTAGGTTTTTTGAAGAGTTTTTAACAGAAGATAAAATTAGAGCTATAAATCAGTAGAGAGATGTATAAGGCTGGAAAGTGAGGAGAGACACCAGCTAGAAGATTGCTCGATGTAGACTGTCATCTTTTGGAGTCTGTAGTTTAAATTAATGGGGTGAAAGGTACATCCTATTTATTAAGAATTCATATGTTCTCCTTGATCTTGAATTTTCTTAGAGACTTTGCATGCTTTCGTGTTCTTTCATGCACAATATAGGCTTCTTGTTTTGTTTATAAAGCTTTCATAGTCTGTATACTACTCTAGTATGTAGTCAGTTGTTGCTATGCTATGCAATTGCAAAGGCCCTGTCAGTGAGTTCCTAATCTTTGCTTCATTCCTTACTAACTCTACAGAGTTCTTAAGTTTCTGTATTTTGTCATACTTTGTATTAAATTAGTGCTTGATCCACGCATTGCATGGAGTAGTCCGGAAGCTGCATTATCAAGTACGAAATCTTGCTGTTGTTGTGCATCACACCCGAACTCCTGTTTGTCCATAGACCATGGTTTGTTCCTTCATCTGCTTGCTAACATTCAGTTTCTGAACTGAACGATTAGCCTGTACTTGTTGCATTAGTGACCCACGGGTGGTCCCTTTTTAGTCAATTTTAAGCTGCTTTTAAGAAATATATAGTGTTCTGAGAAGTCTGTTGAGGCAGCACGTCAGGATAAAACTTGTTTTGGGTATTTGTACAAAGGTTATGCTGTACCTTTAAAAAGAGTGCTGTTTATCTGTTAGTGTAGAAACTCACAATACTTATACTGATCTTTCAAAAAGTCATTTTGACATGGATACCAAATAATTTGCTGCCATAGCTTTAGCTTTGTGGATGTCAGGTAATCACATTTTTGTGCAGAAGAATGAGGTGGAAGTAGAATCATGTTTGTTGATGAAGATTTGGAAAATAAATGCTAGGATGAATTCTAAGGCTGACGTGTTGATAATGTGCCTGCAGTTAATACAAAGAGATTAATTCAGGAAAGAGTATAAACATGCCTGTCATTCGTCTTTCTTACGAAGAACCAAAATGTTAGATAGTAGCTTTCAAAAGGTAGGAATGGTATTGGGGTTGTTGGAGTATATGAGGAGAAACCTGATCTCTGTTGCTCAGCCACAGCGTTCAGTGTGAGTTTGTACCCAAATTTGTTTGCTTATCTCTTCATCCCAATCTTCCCTTTCTGGAATTAGTCTGGAGATTTCAAAAAAAATAGGTATTTTAATCCAGAGATTTAAAAAAAGTAGAGTTGGTAAGAAAAACTGAGACAGATGTCTTCTCTCAGAAAATGCAGTTTGACGGAAAGCAAATTTTTTTTCTGGAATTTTGTTTTAGAGAAAATCTTTGACAGTGAGATGAGAATGTAAGTGGAACACTTCAGAAGATCCAAGATGATATTTTTCTAACACATTTCCATTTGCAGACAAGTAAAGATTTTTTTATTTTAAGGAAAAAAACCCCAATAGTTTATTGATAAAGAACTTTTCTGAAATAGGAGGTGAGAATAGAATAAAATGAAAGTTAAAGGTACTGGATTATATTTTAAATTGAAAAGAGATACAATACTGGGAATCTGTCCTGGCATTTTCTGTTTAAACATTTTCAGATTTGTGTTTATTGTAGGTATGTCTGTAGTGGGAAGACTTGAAGGAGAATTTGCAGGGACAGAGAGTAATGACTTTCTCAGTAAACTAGAAGTGGTAGCTTTTAAGAATCAGCCCTGAAAAAAAGCGCAAAAGTATTAATTCAAACTCATTCCTCTCCCTCTGCCCCCTAACTGAGTGTTACAGGGTTGTAGAATAGAGGAGGAAGGGAGTACAGTTTGAGTGTATAGAAAAGATTTTAAGTGATACTTAAAGGTGTGAACAAGTTGTGGGGAGGAGTAATTCTAGGATACACCATGATTAGAATGATAATCCAGAGAAGATGACTCTGTGATCACTTTTTGAATAGACCTGTGGCTAGTACCAGAAAGGTTGAAAGAAAAAGATTAATCAAGGTAAGAGAGAAAGGTTTTTACAAGACTTCAAATGGGGCAAAGAGGGAAAGGGGCTTATGTGGAAACACTAGGAATGATGCTTATTGAAGCTGGAATTGTTGCCTGAATGTGTAATCCCAAAGGGAGGGCAGGTAAACATCTTGCAGTGGTTTGTGCAGAGTGCACAGACTGCAAGATAACTGAGAATATTATTTTCATGACATTTTTCTTCAACAGAAAAAAGGGAAATTGATAGTAAGCCTTATTTGAGTAAAAGATCAAATATAAAAAGAGGATGTTTCTGCGAAACGTAACATTTATTTACTATAACTTAACAAATAAAGGTAGGCTTATAAGTCATCACAGATAATTAACCATTCCTTTTCATATGTTGTATTTAAAAAAGTGTTGACTATCC